TTGCACAATTCAGAGTCACATTTATTCTTTGTCCTGATTCCATTTCTCCCCTCTTCTTTGGTTTCTCTGAAGCTCAACTAGTCTCACGTAGCAAGACGTTCATCTGACTGACATGTAAAGCAACCAGTCACAGTTCGTTTTGATTCGCATCATGTTTTGGGGTGTGAAAATGTAACTTCGATGTCCCTACAAGAACAGACCGGCGTGCATCTAATAAATTATTCATTCAAGAACATTGTGCAAGTGTATTGCAACCGCAACTTTACATACAGTGCTCATTGTCACAGTTATTAACACGACTGCGTTTGGACAAAGGCTAATGTGCTAATGCTAATGCTAATGCTATGGTGCACAGGGAAGGAGATGAGGCCAAAAAAAAAAAAAAAATTATGGATGTCAATGGAGGAGAGGCTTCACTACGCTCAATAATCCCCTTTTATGAGGAATAGCCAGGGGCGTAATTTGCGGGTGGGACGGGTGGGACATGTCCCCACCACTTTTTGCCAGGGTCGATATTGTCCCCGCCACTTTTTAAAAGCTCTCCCGGCACGGATAGCTAACAGTAGACATAAATAAAACATCTCCAACTGGCAGACCATTCATTTCATTCGTTTGTAAAATAAAAGAAGCGATCTAGCCCTGAAATACGTTGTTTTTTAAATCAAGTGATCAAAGTGCTCCTTGCCGCCTGCCAGAGCCGGCCCGAGGCATAAGCGACCACCAGGGGGCCCCCTAATCGGGGTTATTTTTTATTTTTATTTTTTTTAGATTACTTAAACAAGTGACATAAATCAATAAATGAATGAAAATGACTGAATGAATCATTCAAGACAACAAAACTCTGATTTAATGATCAATATACCTGCCTACAAGTTACAACTGTTGCTGTGTCTGCCTGCGTTTAAGTCATGCGTCTAGATCATAGACTGTAAAAAACCGGGTTGAAGAAATATTGTTTAGGCCACTTTGTTTGATATAATCACAGCAATTTAACGCAAGTATGGGAATTGAACTCAGATCTTCTTGATTAAAGCCCAGCGCTTTATCAACTGAGCCACTGCATCTATTGCGGGTTTAGTTTTATTTGTTGAAAAAATAAATATAGAAATATAATTTGACACAAGAGGGCAGTATAGCCCTATTTATGGTTCTGAGTTTAAACTAAACCGTGACATCTACACGTTTTCCAAATTGGACCAACGTGATTATTTTTTAACCATTTAATCGTGCGCGTTCCGCAAAAAATCAGTTATCAAAATTCTGGCCTAATAGTTAATTTACTTTTAAAACTTTTATGTATATTTTTGTTTATATAATTTTTATTCATATTATTAGGTCAATTTATTCGTTTAATTTTACAGGACTTTCTGTATAGGCTATTTCCACTGCCACTGGACATGTTGTAAAGTCGGATCTATGTTTTTATTCACGTGTCACGTGATTCATTCATTTACACACATGTCCCACCCACTTTTTAAAACAAAGTTACGCCACTGGGAATAGCTTATCATTTAATGATTCGAAAGCCCATCGGATCATCTTCAACATGTTTGCACTTAAACACTCATTTAGATTGATCTATTTAAGCCAAAAAAAGAGGCGTCACATTTAAAGCTTAAAGAACCAAATGCAAAACGTCTTTTTGCAAGTTCGCTAGTAAAATTATGTTACATGTACTTACTATAGTAATAACTGTAAATTATGTACATGCAACTAACCCTCAACCAAATCCTACCCTAAGTGCATGTAGTTGTGAATATTACTCAGTACTTAAATGTATAATTACACTGTAACAATGACACCTTAAAATAAAGTGTGACCAAATGGATAATATATTGACTTAACCAGTTTGTTCCTGTAATTAATCTGCCACATTAATTTAATGTTTTAAATAATGAATAATTGATAGACAGTCCTTGTAAATAAAGGAAAGACAGATGGAGAGCAGGCAAGCAAAGTACTGTTAAACATCTGTAAATGAATACTGAAAGGGAACAAACTATAGTCCGCATCGAACGCATGGCATGTCTTCTCATGACATCACTGTTGTCAAGGTGACGATGTCATGCTAATAATGACATGTCGCTCTGCACCCCATAATCACACACAACATGAAACTCTCTCTCTCTCTTTCTCTCACAGACTGTGTCAATCCATGTCAACCAGAACATCGTCCCCTCAGTTCACCTGATTATTCCCTTATTCCGTCACTGGATTTATTTTAGTTGTCTCCTCTGTTAGGTCCAAACCTGTGGAGGCTTCGCTTTAGGAGCCTTGTGTTGTTTCTACGGCTGCTTGCAGGTTTAATTAGATATTAGATGCATTAAAGCAGTAGTTCACTTTTTAAAAAAAAAAAAACTTTTGCTGATAATTTACTGTCATCCAAGATGTCCACGTCTTTCTTTCTTCAGTCGAAAAGAAATTTAGGTTTTAGATGAAAACATTCCAGGATTTTCTCCATATAATGGACTTCAATGGGAACCAAACGGTTCAAGGTCCACATGAGAGTTTCAGTGCAAACTGTTCAAAGGGGTTTAAATGACAACAGATGATGAATAAGGGTCTTATCAAGCAAAACGATCGCTCATTTAAAAAATAAATAAAAAAAGTTTAAGTTTTATAAGCACAAATGCTCGCCTTGCTCTGTTCTGTGATGAGCGTTCGTGACTCTCCTCTTCGAACCCGCTCATCAAAATGAACAAATCTTTTTTCGAGTCATGACACGAAGGGTCCTAGATAAGACCCTTATTCATCGTCTGGTGTCGTTTAAAGCCCTTTGAAGCTGCACTGAAATTGTCTTTTAGACCTTGAACCATTTGGTTCCCAATGAAGTCCATTATATGGAGAAAATACTGGAATGTTTTCATCAAAAACCTTCGACTGAAGAAAGAAAGAAAGACGTGGACATCTTGGATGACTTTCAGCAAGTTTTTTTTTAAAAAGTGAAGTACTCCTTTAAATATGATGTGTGTGTGTTTGTGTGTGTGTGATGACTCTCTGACAATATAAAAATGAGTGGTAACACTTTATTTTGATGGTCCCTTTTAAACATTCTGTTGACTAAAGTACACTCTAAAAAATGCTGGGTTGTTTTAACCCAGTTTTGGGTAAAATATGGACAAACCCAAACGTTGGGTTAAAAATGTAATTTAAAAAAAATTAACCCAATGGCTGGGTTTGTCCATATTTTACCCAAAACTGGGTTAAAACAACCCAGCATTTTTTAGAGTGTAACTTTGCAACTACATGTCAACTAACTCTCATTACAGTATTAGTAGACTGTCTGTTTAATATCTGCTAACACTTTATTGTGATGCTCCTCCAACAGACATTGTACTGACTATAAGTAACTGTGCAACTACAGTCAACTTATTCTATCCCTAACCCTACCAGTCTACTAATAATCTACTAACACTCTAGTGAGAGTTAGTAGAGATGTTGGTGCAACGTTTCTTATAGTCAACTGAATGTGTTAAAAGGACCATCCAAATATAGTAAAACCAAATTAATATATTTGGTTAAAGGACGATATATTTGGTTCTCCCCCATCAAATTTTGAATTTCGTAGATGTGTTTTCCTGCATTCTGGTGCATTTTAGGCCTTTGCTCCTTGCCACTTAATACCAATGGTCTAAAAATACAATGTTAATTGAACTGCCATGTAGAAAATTAAATGCATCAGTCTCGTGATCTTTGAAATTAAGAGCTTCAACCCATGAACAGCTCGTTAAACAAAGATAAAGCATTGATTTGTACCAGGACAATAAAGAGGGCTCAAACATCTTTTTAATTATGAGAGTCTCAGTCTACATTACATTACCAATGGTGTTTTAGGATTCCAAACAATTATTATAATAATGTAACACTGATTTATATAATTATTCCTATGACGTAAAATCCATATAGCCTATAAATGTACTATATAAATGAAAATGAATATTTCAAAAGTATATTTTAGTCTACATTACACTATAATATAGGAAAATTAAAATACTTTAGTCCTTATTTCTACACTTGCAAGAAATAAATCCTTGAGCTTTTATTTAGGAGAAAACACCAGATGACCATGAAAATCGTGTGAGCAAAGTGCACACGTTTCTCTAAATGCCCAGCAAAAACAGAATGCCTTTTCTTAAAGTCTTGTGCTGTTTTATGAAGGCAAAAAACAATATCTTGGTTTCGATTTTAGTTCATTGGCAAAATATAACGCTAGAGACCTTCATGATAGTTTATACATTTTACATCTCATATGTTCGGCAAAAGGCGGATTCGAACTCGGGTCCGACTGCATCAAAGCTCTTTCCCGAACCACACGGTCTACGATCCACGCCACTACAGCTGTTCCGTGACCGGCGTGTTTTAGCTACACTTACTGCAAATATAGGCTACGATCTGTTTTATCAGACCGGCCTTTGCGGCCTCGAAACACTGACCATCTGAACAGCGCCAACACTGGCGCTGAGGCAAAGCGCCCATCGGAGAATTAACACTGCACTGATTGGTTGAATTGAGCAAATTTAGTGACGTTTTAATAGGATATCAGAGCTTCATTTTTCTTAGCGCCCCGAGGATAAGACTACACTGGCTTACAAAAATATCCACACCCCCTCCCTGTCCTTCTAGTGTGTAAAACAGGTACACCTGTACAGAAGAAATTCATATTTTGTCAAATTAAAAAAACGTTTTTTTTTTACTTGGCAGGAGGGGCGACGCCCCAGCGCCCATAATAGACCAGCCGCCTCTGCATGAAAGTGTATTTTCTCTTGTTCTATTGGGGAAAAACTGAAAGCATACACATTTCCCCTCACCATAGCAACCCGGCAACTTTCCATCACAATGTTCCCCAGTGTTTGAGTGTGACCTCACCCTCTCCCAGTGCACCCCCCCCCCCTCCTCGTTCTCTCGCTCCTCCCCGTAACCCTTTGCCTCATGCTGTCTAAGCCATTCAAGTAGAACAGCGCAGGATTATCCTCTATATGAGCTCCTGACACACACACACACACACACAGAATCTAGTGGAGAACCAAAAGAAGACCGATTGTGTCACCAGCCGGACCTGTGTAATGATATCTGGGACATTTTACTCTTAAAAGGTTCCTAACATTGTTTGTGGATGGGTTCACTGTTGGTAAGTTCATAGGGGGGTTTCTTTACTTTTTTTTTAAAGCAAAGAGCTAAATTCTGTATGATGAAAGAATATTTCCTCACGTTTGGTTCTGCTAGGGGTCTTTTTGGCCACTTTAGAGTAGATCAGTGAATTATCTTTAATGAAAACCATATTGATATTGCTATAAATATTCTCTACAAGTCAAATGTTTGGACACACTTCACTCAAATGTTCTTTTGCTTTTGATAAAATGCTTGAAATTAGCTTAATAAATAAATATGCCTATGCATTTCTATGCGATTATTGTTATTGTTTGTGGTGCGCTTTAGTGAATATTGTAGGAAAAACAGCTAAGTGTTTAAAACACATCCTGTGAATCTCATGAAGTTGGTTGAGAGCGAGCTAAGCTGGACTTTCTCCTACTCGCTCCTTCTAAATATCCAAATAACAGTTTCCTGAATATAAATACTGTAAGTAACCTCTTTTTGATACGCTTATGTGGCTCATTGGATAATCCAAAACAAACAGCAGAAACTGTTCTGATAATAAATAATTATCTTTTTTTTTTTTCAAGTTGCTGGCAACAATTTCCCTGACAGGTTAGACTAGGCGTAATCACTGTAATTAGTACATTGTAACTCAGTTCAGAGAATGTTGTGATACAATGCCAGAGAAGAGAAGCAGCCATTATTTTTTCACTTTAGGGCAACATCACTTTGCGGTTGTGCCAGGATTGCACTCAACGTTGGTGGAAAAACATTACTAACCACTTGCAAATCAAGTGCCCTCCCCTGTGAAAAAGAAATGTGCTTGATTGTATTGAATGTGCACTTTCAGTGTACTTCAAATCTTAAATGTAAGTTAAAAAAACGTATTTTACCATTTTTTTTTTAAACATATAACATAATAAAATAAAAACCACATTAAAGGAGTAGTTCACTTTTCAAAAAAACTTTTGCTGATAATTTCCTCACCCCCATGTCATCCAAGATGTCCATGTCTTTCTTTCTTCAGTCGAAAAGAAATTAAGGTTTTTGATGAAAACATTCCAGCATTTTTCTCCATATAATGGACTTCAATGGGAACCAAATGGTTCAAGGTCCAAAAGACACTTTCAGTACAAACTGGAAACTGTTCAAAGGGCTTTAAATGATTCCAGACGATGAATAAGGGTCTCATCAAGCGAAACGATCGAACTCGTTCATCAAAATGAACAAATCTTTTTCCGAGTCAATTCGTTTGTTTTGTTCGTTGAATGAACCGAATGACTCGGAAAAAGATTTGTTCATTTTGATGAATGAGTTCGAACAGCAAGGCGACCATTTGAGCTTATAAAACTTAAACTTTGTTATTTATTTATTAAATGAGCGATCGTTTCGCTTGATAAGACCCTTATTCAGTGCCCTCCTATTACATAATACATTCATTTCACACTTAAGCTTATTCTCTATTTAAAAGTATGCTACAGTGTACTTCTTTTCACAAGGCTAAGTTATTGTATAACAACATGACAGACATATGTAAATGAAGTAACTGTAATTATTTCCGAAACAAACACACCTCCTTTCTGTCACATTATAGATTTTACAGACAGCAACATAGTGTCGGCCCAGATCTGGCCCACATCTGGAACATGTGGATTCAAGGCGTTCCAGATGTGGGCCGACACTATGTTGCTGTCTATTTCATTTCACAAAATCAGCGCTTTGACTGCTGATTTAAATAGTACAATTAATATTGTACTATTTAAAAGAGATGTTTTTTACATGTTTTGTTTATCATAGCACCAAAATTTCATCAAATAATGGAGGAGAATGATATAATCAGGCATATATCCAGGTTTACTGTATATGTGGTTTACGCTGCCTTCACACTGGCAGTTTAAATCAGCTCCGTAATACGCAATACGTTCCCAACGGACGTCGTACTACACAGTGAAAAGCGTCGGACGCGGGTAGAACAAAAATGGCGGAGAGATTAAAGTTTGATTCTGTCAGTTCTGTATGATCTCTCTCTGATTAGGGTTATGCTGCGTGAGGAAAGTTGCTCAGGACGTTGACATGTCAGGTCGGCTAAAAAATGTGATATAGTGGTCAATAGTTCAATGTCTACCTTCTAATTGCCCTTATAAACGTTAGAAAGTCATGAAAATAAAAAATGACATGACAACTTATCGTTATAAAATCATTATTTATTTTTTTAAAAGTTAATAATTCAGGTTTGTTTATCAGTACCATAGCAACGCTCAACTTCCGCTGGAATTGTCGGATAGGAACCGTCCGTAGCTTTTCGCACGAGTTCAAATTTTTGAACGCATCCGGATGACCAACGGACACGATTTTCTTCGCACCGCACTCGGTCGGACCCGTTTCGGACCCATTCGCATGCGGTCTGCGAATCTCCATAGGAAATGAATGACTTCCGGTCGTTTCGCAGCCGCATCGGAGCTGATTTCAACTGCCAGTGTGAAGGCGGCGTTAGACTAGCACACTCTCAACATATTAACCCCGACAGCAACATAGTGTCGGCCCAGATCCGGGCCACATCTGGGACATGTGGATTCAACCCGCACCAGATGTGGGCCGGATCTGGGCTGACACTATGCCGATGATGCTGTCTGGGAGGTGCCTGGATCATCCACTGCAAGATGGGGAAGTGAGCCACACTTTCAGCAAAGATTTGGATTGGCTGTCAATGTTTTTATTGACATCTGTTGCGGGAAAAGAATCATTCTGAAAGTGATTGCAATTTTTGATGTCACTGTTGTTGTTTGGCCTAGAACTATAGTGATATATATATATAGTTCTATTTTATATTTTATCATCGTAGGTGTAGTTATTCTTTGTTTTTGTTGAATTTAGGAATGGGGCCGATCCGATCCAGTATCGGTATCGGGACCGATACCAGCTTAATTTCCGTATCGGATTTTTCCGATCCAACCTGCGGAGAAAACCGATATTCATGAGCTACTGTATGTCTGCGCTTTAACGTTGTCTGCTGATATGACTCCAAAAGTGATTCCCGCCGGGCCGGCTAGTCTGCTAGCTGGCTGCAAACTCTGGAATGGATATCCTGAACGGAGGCGCGGCTCAATGAGACACAGAGACCCCCGCTCAGGAAATCCATTCCGCAGTTTGCAGCCAGCTAGCAGGATAGCATTGAACTGCCAACATGTTCGCTGTGTGGAAATACTTCACTGAAAACACCGCAGCAGAGCAAGACAGAAAAATGCAATGTTAGCAAAGCCATATTAATTAAACTATTTGTCTGTGATGCATGTTTGCTATTCACAGTCCAGAAGAGAAAGAGCGAGATCTCTCACGCGGTGCCACAGCACGCACAACAGCCCTGCTTAATGAGTGACGACAGAGGACAGAACTAAACATTCAAACGTAGCCTATATGGTTACACTTTAGATCTGTGATATTAGTCTGATTTCCAAAACTATAGCCGCATTCTGTGTAGCGCAACTTCCTTTCCATCCCAGTGCTGTCATTTCTCCTTAAAACTCAAACTTTAAGACAGAATCAGCACAATCGGTGATTGTTGTAAAATGCAGTCTCTGCTGTTGCTAAACTGCGGGACGCTTTTAATAATAAAAAGAGCTATTAAAAGCACAAAAATCTGCGAAAGAGATGCTGTTCCCAATGCGGTGCGTGCTCCAAAAGAGACCACAACGAGACTAGCAAATTATACTTTGGGCTTCATATGCGCGTCTAAACGATCAAAAGTAGCCTACACAAAAATGTCAAAACGACCAGCTTGGAGATTCACTTAAACAGTTTATGTCTAAAATGGACGTAGTTATGGAAATAGTTGGGAGAAAATATGGTGCATCAGTAGACTATTAGTTCTGCACTCGTTCTTAAAGGGGCAGCAGTCTAATAAACATGCTGACGATTGCGCCATTACTGAGAATCACACAACAAAAGGCAAAGAGAAAAATCACTCACAGCTCTTGAATGAATAACTTTAGCTTTAATTAGCATAAATCTATCTATGATAAACCTTGCAGTGCTATTTTACTTTTGATTACTTTATTCTAATTCTTTTTAGACCGGAATAATAGTAGTAGACCTTCTTGAAATTAAAGCAATGAACAATTATGTCACAGTATTTGCAGCGGAACTGACAAGGACATTGACTTCCGGTCCAACACTTCGAGGAATCCGCTATTTTTATTTCTCGCTCTGATTTTATAGTCCAAGCTCAAGGATGCAGAAGTTACGAGAGGGCAAGTCAAATTGTTCGGTTGTTGGATGTAGTGACCCGAAGCACTTCAAGGATTCCCGCTTCAACGACCTCCGCCAATATAAAGAAGGGTTTGCCGAACGACTTCGTCTGAATGAGGGGTCAATTACTTCTACCTTTGGAGAGCATTTCGATAAGCTGTAAATATCGTTAATAAAAATAAAGTGCTTTACTTTCTTAAAACACATGGTGGTCATGGTTTAGCAGCACCTTTGTCTTTCTTTGTTTTTGTTTTGAAGTAATGTTACATGTCTGCAGTATTATTGTTCTTGAGTTTCATCAATGGTCATTTAGCTGCTGTGTTTTCTGATGGTTTTCTAAACGTATTATATTATCAATACAGATTTTTAGTGTTAAGACCATAGTCATTTATCTTGTCAGTGTGCTTGTTTTAACGAGAGAAATAATCGACTTTCACTTATAATACAGTTACGTACCACTGCATCCATTTTAAGTTGTTCTGCAGGTTCGTCGTCTTTTTCCACTCGCTCGCTCTGGATCGCACACGTAAAGCTTGATGTAAGTCTTCCGTTGTTGACATTTTGTCAACGTGTGACTAAAAATGTTCTTAGACGCTATATAATCGTATCCACAAGTTTCCGAGGGGCGCTCCTGTAAAAAATAAAGTGGGTGAAACTTCCGGTGAGGCGGCGGAAGTAGCATTCCAATGGTATTTTGTGTGTTAGTTAGCAAAGAGGCTAGCTGCTTTTCGGATAATTATTTTACTATTTAAAGACGCAAATCTTTATGAGAGATGTCGTTACGGAGCT